GTGGCTTTGCAAAGCCGCGCGGGGGAGGGGGGGGCCTCGGGCAGCTGGGCTGCCCTGCTGCCCGAGCCCCTCCGCGGCTTTGTTCCGCGTCTTCCTGGTCTGCAGACCAGGGAGATGCGGAGCAGCTTTTCTCGCCCCGGAGTACACGGGCGGCAGGACCGCGAGGTCCCGCAGTCCGTGTCCTCCGGGGCGAGAAAAGCCCCGTTCGTAACTGCGGATCCGACATAAGTTGGGGACTGCCTGTATTAGAGTCTAAATTGCTTTATTACATAACTAGTTTTAAATTAAAATACTGGAAATGTACAAATAGATGCAAATACAAAAATGCTGCAGGGTTACTGTACACACCTGTACCATGTAGTCTGAATGCGAAAATTAGGATAGACCCAGAAATATAATTTGTAGTGTTTTAACTTCTGTCGGTAAAAGAAATTAGTCAGAGGCTTACTCTAGGTGGTAATATATTAAAAAACCACACATGATACAAAACAGAACAGTTCCATTTCCTAAGTAGCAGACAGAATGGTGCTGAGGATTGGTGATAGAGGAATATATTATAAAATATCCATTTTATCTTTTTGAAAAATTGGTACTTATTCATTAAATATCCATACCATTTTTGGCATAGTTTGCAATATTAGTTGTGGAAAAATTAAATGGAAACATTCATGTTTATTGTTTTAAATGTCTGGTTTATTTATTAGCAAGGTATTTAACAAATATTATAGCACTCTCATCTGGTGCTAATTTTTAAAAGTGTTACCAGTTTCAAGTTTAAGAGTTACCAGTAACTTTAAGAGTTACCAGTTTCAAGTTCAGCACAACTGCTGGAATGTCATGTCAATTATCAAAGAAAATGTTTCATAATGTCTCGAGGACGTGATCCCACAAACAAAAATAAATAAAAACCTTTCACCTGCTGAGAACAAATGCAGATATTAGTATGCATTTGAAACTGTCATTGTGACTTGAACAACATTTCAGTTTTTCCCAAGGTAAGTATTGATGCCATAAATATAGAGTACATTGCCTATAGCTGAACATAAAGCTATAGTGTCCTTAGGATTGCAGGTGTACTGAGCAAAAAGAGGATTGACCCCAAAACTGATAATTTAGTACAAAGACTAAAATGCAGTTTTTTACCTGAAAATTGTATAGAACTTTCCTAGTACAAAGACTTAAAAATTGTCTAATCACTGAACATCATCTAAACACATTAACATTTTGTCATGAAAATTTATTCCAAAACCGTAGGAATGGTTACTCACATCTAAAGCAAAATGTGCATAGAGGGCCACGCTTTGGTGGGGGGCGAACAACTTTTTTTATATAGAGAGAATGTCCATACGTATGTTGTTTTGAGTAAAATGAAGCATCAAATTGTGTGCCAGATTTGATCTTCATAGATGATCTGGGGAGAAAAGGTCATTGTTAGTTTGCCAGTTTTGTGGCAATGTTTTGGGAACAATGATCTCTTTTGAAATATTAAGGTGAACGCTGTATTTAACTGTGCAATTTTATCTACTGTAAACATGTTATCCAACTGAAAAGGCAGGCTGACGATTCTAATGAGTATTTTGCAAACAATAGTGCTAGCCTGCAATCTTTGAATAATACTGACTGAACATGCAAATTGAGTTATGGTACATTCTTTTTTTCAATGTTCAAAACATTGTTTCTTTCTTTTTTATAGACAAACATGAAACTAAATTAAAAGGAGTGATATATTTCCAAGCCATTGAAGAAGTCTATTATGATCATCTAAAAAATGCATATAAGGTAAATATGCTTATTTTTTATTAGTTATCCTATAGCAACACCCAAAATGTGGTAGCTGTTGTACAGACACAGAAAGATTAAAATCTGTGTCCCAAAGAGCTTAAAAATGAAAACACAAGGCATGGAAAGCACAGAATATATAGTAAAGTGGCCAAGTGGTGACTGGCGCACACAATTTTGTATGCAGTGTTGTTGTTGTAGCCATGTCAGTCCCACAATATAAGAGGGTAAGCTCTGTATAAGTTTGAAAGCTTGTCTCCCTCACCAATAGAATTGGGTTCAATAACAGATACATCACCCACCTCGTCTCTGTCATGTATAGTTGTTAGTTTTGTATATGAAACAAGATATTGAGAGTCAGAAGAGTCCACCTGGCAAGTGATGTGGTCTCAAAATGGGAGAGGGGTCCAAGAATGTATGAGTTCTAATCCCTGCTGTGCCATGCAATCCCTTTCTGGCTTTGGGCAAAAAATAAGTCTCATCTTACATCTTTTTCACTATGGGTATGTCTACACTACAGCGTTATTTCGAAATATCTTATTTCGAAATAGTTAATTCTAAATAAGTTACTTCGAAATAACGCGTCTACATACTGAGTGGACACTGATTTGGAGTTAAGGCCAGCTGGAACCAGGTCAGGGTTAGGGCATCAGGTAAGGAGTGTCTTTGTGTGGCTGTTGCCTGAGGCTATCTGAGGCCTGTGCTTAAAGGGACATCCCCCTCTCCCCCAAGCAGCCAGTTCTCAGGTGTCCCTGCTTGCTTGCCTGCCTTCCACTTACCCCTCCCTAACCCCCCTTCCTGATGTCAAATAAAATACACGTATTTTAAAAAATATAAACTCTCTTTATTTAACGAAACTGGAAGGGGGATGAAACTCTGGGGAGACAGGGAAAAGGAGGCGGGAGAGGGGAGAAGAGAGGGTGGGAGAGGGGAGGGGGAAAACTGGGAGGAGGGAGCTGGAAGGGGGAAGCAAGGGGAAGAAGGGGGAGAGGAAGCTTAGGTGTGGGGGTCTCGCCCGGCCAACTGTCTCCCAGCACGGCGGGTGCAGGGGCCTCGGTGTCCCCGGGAGGATGCGAAAGAGGGTGTGGAGGATGAGGTAGGGTTGTGGAGGTTGAGGAGAAGGGTGTGGAGGTTGAGGAGGGAGAGGCGGGAGGGGGAGAAGGAGTGGAAGGAGGAATGGGAACTGGGGAGGCAGCAGGCGCTGGAGCAGCACAAGGCAGCACGCTCTGCACCAGGGTCTACAGATGGGCACAGATGGCACGACCCTGGGCAAGCAGCTTCCACTGGAACTCCCATTCGTTCTGCACCCACTGCTCCATGGTGTGGTGCAAGGCTCGCAGGGCCCCCAGCTGCTGGTTTTGGTACCCCTGCAGTGTTGCAGTGGACCTGCTGAGCCCTCGGGTGTGGGAGGATGTCCCGGGCAGGGTGGTGCGCCCTGCACATGCAGCTGGTGTGGCTGTGGAGAAGGAAGAGAAGTGGTCAGTTCTCCCTGGGGACACAGTAGGTGAAGCCCAGCCCCCCTCTGCGAGGTGAGGATGACCGTGCCCTGAACCGTCAGAGCCGTTGTGCTTGCACAGAGGCCATGGTTGGAATGTCCAGCTATCCCTGGGAGTGGGAGCTACCCTGAGACCACACCCAGGCCCCTGTGCTGTGTATAGTGTGGCCA